AGGACCAGGTATGTAACGTGTGTTCAGAACCAGAATTTCGTTACTGGTCAATGTGTGCGAAGAGAATATTTTTCGATGTTCAGGCGAGTTGACGGCACACTGCGTGGGTCCTCATAAAGTGGCTTACTGCGAATTGTACGATCACGGCGACGCTACCTTCACGTTAAACGTTAAACCGCAAGAGGCTGGACGACATGCTTTAACGATCAAGTATGCGGGAGAGCATGTTCCGGGTTCGCCATTTACGTTACGCGTTTCCGGTGCTCCGGACGCTTCGAAGGTAATTTCGAGTTTCAGAGCAAAATAACATTTGCGAACATTCGAAACTTTTGGCCCGTACTAATCGAAATTGTTTCTAAAACAGGTACGAGTGTACGGACCAGGAATCGAGCATGGAGTACTAGCGACATTCCAATCGCGTTTCATTTGCGACACTCGAGGCGCCGGTGCTGGTCAACTGACAGTACGAGTCCGTGGACCCAAAGGGGCGTTCAGAGTAGAAATGCAGAGAGAAACTCAAAAGGATCGTATAATTCTTTGTCGGTACGATCCGACGGAACCAGGCGACTATAGAGTCGAAGTTCGTTGGGCAGGCGTTTTGGTTCCGGGTTCCCCGTTCCCGGTTAAGATCGTTGATACGCAAGACGAGCTATTGATGCTAACACAGGTAAAGACGTGTACCAGTTTCGAACCGAAACGACGTCACGCGAGTTTTGTTCGAATATTTGTTCAGAAATGTGGTGAGGATCAAATTTTTAATTGCAGGGTGGAGACAACTATTCAACGGGACATCACACGATCGCGTCGTGGCGTGGATCGCAAGCTATGTTGTAAGGAAATAGCATATCAAGTTGTTATTATTTTTTACGAACTAATAATATATTTTGATAATATATAATTATATTATAACTTATCTAAAAATGTTTGCAATAAAACCGATATTTTGACAAGTCTCGTTACTCCGATAACGATACTTCAGTGTTTTTTTAAATATCATGTCAACTTGTTCAAGTTCGCCTGTCTCTTTACCAACGACTTCAGGTCGTTGTAATACGTTTTCGTCTCGCCGTTGTCACATTCCATGTCGAAATGTTCTTCCAACTTTCTCTTCTTCTCTGCAAGATTCCTCTTCTCCTCAATATCGACGTTCGTCGACTCCTTCAGTGCTTCAGCCTCGTGTTTTTCAATTTAGTTTCCAGGTCCTCGAAATCTCCATAAACATCTTCCATGTCGTCTAAATTCAATAGCTCCGCGGCGTCCCTCTCGAGTGCAAGACAAATCGTCTCAGTTCAACGCGAAAACTTTAATAAAAACTCATGTTATTTCTTAATTGATACTGGTTATGTCAAGATTATTTAAATTTAAAAAGGACTTACTATCTGAAAATTTGTTCGGCGCGTCGTTGTCATTTTCTCTAACTTGTTTTCTTCTTTTTCTCTAACTTGCT